TTGGGGGAGGTGGGACATTATAACCAGAGGAACTTGGGATTTGATCTATTAAGACCAATTCAGGAGGCCGCGTGGCAGTGCAGCAGTAAACGCAATGCTCTGAGGCTGGCCCACATGGGAAGGTTCCAGGTTCAAGTCTGGAGACCTCCCTGAGTTGGCTGGGGACTTATGTGCTCATGATCTAGGACCTGCTGAGGCTGGACTGTGGCATTCAGACCCTACTGAGGGGTGCTGTCCCTCTTGTCTCTCTTTTGCCGTCTCCTCTGCTTACAGAAAAAAAAAAATATAAACTGAAAAGGAAAGAAAAGAAATGATGAGTTTCAGGTCATGGGTGACCGTGGGCATCAAACTTGAATGAGTTTTCTATTTCTAAGCTATAAAACTGGGACAAGCCCATCTTCCCCCAGAGGTAGGTAGTCCACTGGAAGCTCATCTGGCATGATGGCCTGGGTAAAGCTCAGCTAACAGGGAACTGCATTCCTTGCTTCTTTGAGCTGTGGGGGGAGAGTTTGGAACACTCTCATCAAATATAAAAGGGTAGGGACTCTTAGGTAACCAAACTAGCTACATTTACATGGCTCACAGAAATCTTTCCTTCTATTCCAGAAAGGGGCAAATCAGGTCAACGTCATTCCTTGGCTATGAGCAGAGAAAATAACCACTCGAGCCTATGATAATCAAGGAAGCCAGGGAAACCTCTGGCATGGTAGAGAAGGCAGCTGGATCCCACATGGCCAATGACACAGTTCAAGCCCTGACCTCACAGTTTGAAGAACATGCCTAACACACTGGGCACATGTGCATGCCTAGAATCCCAAAGGGAGGGAGGGGTGGAGGAAAAGGGATTGTGGTGTGGCCATACCACATGGGGGTACTTTCTTTCTTTTGCTCTTTCTATCTCTAGTGAGCACACACACACCCTCTGGCAAATTAAAATAAACAAATAAGGAAGGAAGAAAGACAACTCAGCTCTCACTAACTACATTCAGCTGCCAACTCTACTAAAGAACCAAGACCATAATGCCCATCTGCCACCTCTACCACCATGCCTTTTTAACTGGACCATGACCAGGACTTCTTTTCCATTTGTCCAGAATGTGCCACACCTTGGCCCTTCTATTCCAGGAAGGCCAAGGGAACAGAGGGAAAACTATAGCCTGGCCAAGCAATGCCAGTCAGAGAGAGATCAGTAGGCACAGGAAAATAGAAAAAGCATTAATATGCCAGAAGAAAGCCACTCCATAATAAGGAAAAAACCTCAAGTTGCTGGTAATTCTCTAAGCAGAGCTCCCATAGGTGTCAGGAAAAAATGTACTCAGTGTGGTACTTGTCTATGTAGGGAGCCAGGAATCCCACTGAGAAGCCCTTTCCTGCTTTGTCCTGGGATGAATAGTGTCCCCCAAACTTCAGGTGCACCTGGAATCACAAATGTGGTCTTACTTAAAATATGGTTTGGGGCTAGCTGGGTAGAATGGTGGTTAAGGTGGCTGACTACATGGCTTAAAAGCACCCCAGGTGCATGTGCATGCATACCCAAAATCCCGAGAGAAGAATGGAGAAGAGATTGTGACACAGCCATCCTTTCTGGGAGTATTTCCTCCCATGATCACGGGTGCCCTATAGCAAAACTTAAAAAAAAAAAAAAAAAACAAAACTTAAAAAAAAAAAAAAAAAAAAAAAAAAAAGGAAGGCGATACGCTCTTGTCCACTGTAATCAGTTAAATTATGATGAGGTCATATTGGATCAGGGCAGGTCTTATTCCAAAGGCTGGTGTTCTTATGTGAGAAAACAGACACAGGCACGCACACACACACACACACACACACACACACACACACAGAACCATGTGACCACACAGGCAGGGCCTGGAGTGAGGAAGCGATAGTCAAGGAACACCAAAGGCTTCCAGCAACCCCCCCAAATTTAAGAAGAGAGAAGGAAGGTACTCCTTTAGAGCTTTTGAGAGAGCATGACCCTTCCAATACCTTGACCTCGGATTTTTTAGTTTCCGAGCTGGAAAGAATAACTTTCTGTTGCTTTAGGCACTCCCTGCTTCACACCTGTTCCCCACACCACCCTTTCCAAGACACAGACCCTGCCTTCAGCCCACCTGGACTTTTCCACCTTCCCAAAGCCTGTCAGCACTAGTCTCCTGGAGGGGAGGGAAGTGCGGGGATCACATTTCAGCTGCCCCCACCTTCTGCCACAAGAGGCAAACTGGCAGGGGAGTTTTTGTTTTCTGCACTCAGCCTCCCAGTCTGCAGTCTCTTTCTATTAGATTGGGTCTTTAAAATTTCAATCATTCAGTCCTATCCTAGGTAAGTATAAATATAATGTAATATAATATAATATATATTGTAATTTATATGCTATACG